GGGGGGGTATAACTGTCCTTTCCTGTAACACGATCGACAACCTGGAGTTGCGTTGAACACGTGATTTGCGGATCTTCAGTAGTGATTCCTTTGTCTCACAGGTATAAATTTCAGTTGTATGAATGCATGACTGCAAGTTGTATGGCATCACTTTACGGTCTTTCCCTTTTAGCACATGCGCCGAGGTTAGAAGTCAAAATATTCCTTCAAAGGGATCTGCTGCCGTTTTGTCATCTTGTTTCGAAATCTCATAGCCGTACCTTAAAATCAGCGATTGCAGCTAAGGCATTTTGCTTCGGTTGGTTCTGAGAAACACTAAAACAGAATCTATAAGATTTTGGGGTTGGGTTGTCGGAAGGAGTGGCGACTGTATGTGGAAACTTCTGTCGGAAGATTTAACCGTGGAATCGCAACTGTTAGGAACACCAAGACGATGGTGAGCGGACGATATCGGCCAATGCAGTTGTTTCGTCGTAATCTGAGTACTTAAAGAGTGAAGTTCTCCAGGTTTATGACATCTAGCCTCTAGAAACGATACTTTAGATTAATATTGGACAAAATTCATATTTCCATTCGTACGCAGCTCTGTCTGAACGTGGTTTTTCACGTTTTACTCCATAGCATCATACAGTAAGCACAGCCGAATATCACCTACTTCACCAGAAATTGCACAAAACCCAATGCTGTGGCAGGATTTAAAATACCATGCCTTCTGCTGCATTGCTGAAAGCTTCAGTGGGACAAGTCTCACAGAGCCGTACCTGGAACTCAGCTGAGTCAAGACGAACGATCTCAAACAGACCTGCCTGCTAAGCTTGACAGTAGCCATGATCCCCGTAGCAGCGAACATGGGTTAATGAACAATTTTGGGTTAATACATTTTTTATCCATGAGTTTAAACACGTTCCCCTGAGATATGAAATGCAAAACAAGTAAAGAAAAAGAACCTTGGTGAGTTTTGACAACTGGTAAGATCTTATTGAATGGTAGAACTGAACTGACTTTACTATCGTGTTTCATGACAGTTCCACTCCTCGTAAATCGAGCGGAAAGAATTCAGTGGTTTTGATCCTAGATGAAGGGAGGAATGTAATCGCCTGGTAGTTGTTTATAGATTTGCAACACTGAGAGGGAAGGAATCTCAGGAATGCAAAACTGCACTGTAATGATTTCAGTATTGGAATGTTTCCTGATTTCACTTATATGTACTACAACTGTAGATCTTAAAAATCTTACGAGGCACAAACCACAGGCTTTACAAACAATCTGCTGATAGTACAAACTTCCCGGTGATCTAGGTATGCTTTTATAGACTATCAGAAGCATCATTGATCGTATTTTTTGGAAGACTACAGTTTACCTCGCATTGCCTTTCACGTTATTTGTCGCTGTCTAAGGGATCGTTTGAGCATTCAAAGGCTTCATAGTATTTGAGTGGTGCATGCAGTGCTAAAAGTATCTTGCTTCGCATCATTCCTTATATACAGGCATTTCTAGTCAGAAAGACATCTCAATTGTTGGCGGCACAACGCGTGTGAAAGACCGGTTTCAGACTCCAGAGATACCAGGTTCAATTCCCGCGGAGGAAAAATTTGTTTCAACCATGAATTCCTTTCAGCAATAAATTTTCCCAAAATTCTTTCAGAGGGGGGTTGCTCAATCGGTTCAGCGTCAGACCCAGAACTGCGAGGTCCCGTTTAGAGTGCAGGTCAGGGTGATTCCCCTTTCTTCCTTCTGAGATTGATAATTCAGAGATAATCAGCTGGAGTAAACAAAGGACTATATACTATGCTTGCCACATAGCTGCTGTCATCTCTAGATTTAAAAAATAAAGCAAGCCTCACTCACGGCATGGAAGTGACAATCAGCGCCCCACCATCAACGCCTGCAAAGAAGGTCGTCAGAAATGGTCCATCATGAAAGTGCAAGGAAGACAAATACTCCAACAGTTACAGAGTTTTCATTTTCCTTTCCTTCATAAGAAACTGGTGATCCAAACGTGCCACCTCATGGGTCATGTGATCGACTGCATGAGTTACACGTGACTGATCCAAGGTCAGATTTAAAATGATGCGAGATGTAGTGCGTACTGTAAGTGTACAATTGCTATGGAGTCGTCGCCTGTTTGAACTTGTCTACTAGCAAGAGGCCGTTGAATATGCCATGAAAGCTGGTCTTGGATTTGGAAGAGTTTTGCGTTAGGTAACAAACTGACGTATAAACTCATATTTTTAGAGATTG